TTATCAGATCAGAAAAATAGTAACTTTTCTTAGGAAACTCAAGCCAAAAGTGGATTCTCTTATTGTTTCCCTCTCTACCTGATTACAGATGTGATAGTTGAAAGCACAAATAGTAATGTGCCCAGAGTCATGAGGTTGACATAACTTTTAGTGGGGTATTGTTGAGTTCTGTTTAGTTTATACATGTGCTGCAAAGATTGAAGAAGCCCACAAGTGGAGCGTGCTAGAGCATCTTTGTTTTGGGGCCTTTTGTTTTGCATGGATCTCGTACCTTAAAAAAGCTCTTTTCACATATGTGAAAAGTTAGTGCTCTTGAGTTGGTAGTAATTCATTAATCAGCCCTTCTAGTTCTTTATTGGCAGTGAGTAGATATATATAGGGACCTTTGAATTTTAAAAAAAATAACCAGGTAGTTTGGTGTGTGTTTCAGTAACATTAATGTAAATAACTTTTAGGACTAACCGGTATGGTGGTGGTGTGTGCCTGTAATCCCAGTACTTGTGAGGCCACATCAGTAGAATCATTGCAGGTTTGAGGCCAGCCTGGGCTATAAAGTGAATTCAGTACCATCCTGAACCACATAGTGAGACCCTGTCTCAAAAAGAACAAAACAAAACAAAACAAAACAAAACAAAACAAAAAACCCCAACTTTTAGGAGTTACACAGTATCATGTGGGTACTTTGTCATAAAAAAAAGGTGATTAACAGAAGTCCCTTGGATTTTGGACAAATTTCATTTGTTCTGTCAGAATCCTGAAAGAACAGTGTGATCTAATAGACTAAGATTGATATTTGTTTCATTTTTGTGTGTCAGTTTAAGTAAATGAAAAAAAATTTTTTTTTTGGTACCAGGGATTGAACATTCGACCTTGGCTTGCCAGGCAGGCACTTACGTCGCTGAGCTAAATCCTGGCCCCGTAAATGAAGATTTTTAAACATTTAAATTTAATTCAGAAATGATGATATATGTCAGGTTTTCCATAAGTATTATTATTTGGCATTAATGAGTGTCTGTAAATTCTTCTCTTAAGCAGATACCTTCTGCATAAGAAAAGGTTTTCAGTTGAGTTTTGTTACTTGTCTAATACAGAAAAACCTTAGGAAGAAATATGCAAACCTTTTAAAGTACACCTGATATAGTATATAAGTAATTTTTGTTCATAGCTTTCACTTTATATCATGAGCATGTATTTTTCCCATATTATTTACTCACTTTGAGCACTGAAGCCTTGCCTTTTGATATTTGCTCAGTGGTAAGTTAATCATTTCAAAAAAGAGAGCTGACAGTATTTGTAACCAGTGGTAAAATTTTAGCTGTCAAATGAAAAGTGAAAATTGGAATTTTGGGGAATTTGTATTCCTAACCCTATGCTTGATGACTTTCCAGTACTGGAACATGTTTCTCCTAATGGTGTGCATACATATTTTAAAATTTATTTTTAACTGCTACGTGAAATCATAAAAATTGTATCAATGAAATACATGTGTGAGGTACCACGTTTTGATAGTAATGCAAATCAATGTGGCTTTGTTGATATGTTGTGAAGAATGTGTCAGAATTTGGAATATCACAATACTTAGTAGAATTTGGAATATCTGCATAACGCAGTGAAACAGATTTTCCATAGTCATGCATAAGTAAAAGATCCTTTCAAAATTTGAGATGAACTATTAGATTTTTTGGGGGAGGGGGTACTGGTGATTGAACCCAAGGTCTTTGCACTGAGCTATATCCTCCAAACCTCTACCTTTTAAAAAAAATTTGAGATAGGATCTCACTAACTCTGAATTGCCTAGGCTGAGCTCAAACTTGTGATCCTCCTGCCTCAGCCTCCCAGAGAGTAGAATGGTGGTTACCAAAGGATGAGGGTGTGGGGGAGGATGGGAGGATGATAGTCAAAGGGGACAAAATCAGCCAGAAGGAAATAAGGTTATTCTTTAATGGGACCTATCATACAGAATGGTAAGCATAGTAACAGTGGGTTGTAAATTTCAAAATATGAGCAGATTTTGAATGTTCTCATCATAAAATATGACAAATATTAAAGTACTGGAATATTAATTAGCTTGATTTCATTATTCCACATTATAACAAATCATGATATACTTTGTACCCCATAAAATGTAATTATAAATTGTCATGTGCAATAAAACTGAAAATATAAAAATTAAAATGTTAACTGTAATATGAAGTTAGACAAATTCTCTGTAGTCTATTACATAAAAATCCAGTGGTTTGACCCAAGCCTTTGGTAACCACCATTCTACTCTCTTGTTTCTAAGAGTTAGATTGTTTTAGCATACATATAAATGACAGCATGTGGTATATTTCTTTCTATGCCTGGTTATTTCACTTAGTTGAGTACATGTTTTTCCATCTTACTCATGTTGTCATAAATAACCCAATTTTCTTCTTCTTTTTCTTCATCATCATCATCATCATCATCATCAATACCGGGGATCGAACTCACGACTGCCTGCTTGCAAGGCAGGTGCTTATGCCACTGAGCTAAACCCCCAGCCCCTAATTTTCTTTTTAAAGTCTGGATAGTATTCTTTTGTTTATCAATGCACCACAGTTTTTTAAAATCCATACACATTTATCCATTGATGTACATTAAGGCTGATTCTGTACCTTGGTTATTGTGGGTGGTGCCACAATAACAGTAGAAGTGCACGTGTCTCTTCTTCATAGTGTTTTTTTGTTTTTGTTTTTTATTGGTACCAGGGATCAAACTCACGACTGCCTGCTTGCAAGGCAGGCACTTATGCCGCTGAGCTAAATCCCCAGCCCCATTCTTCATAGTGTTTTCAGATCCTTTGGATAGGTACTTAGATGGATTACAGTTAATTTTTAGTAAGTACTACTCTTTGAATTTTGAGGAAGTACCAAAAAAATAGACAAACAAAGAAAACCTATAGTTATCTAAAAAGACAATACCTTTTTGTTTCCTAACTATATCTGTCTGAGACCAGGTAATCACAAACTTCAGCCTAAACAACATTATAACAGATTACATGTAGAAGCTCGCATGAGACTAGTAAGTGTGACGTGGAAAAGATTTGCAAAAATACCCAATAGTCTCACTAAACTTTTATCTCCTGAAAACTAGTTATTTTTCATAAAAACTTTTAGGTCAATATGTAACTTAAAAGTGATTTTTAGTGAAGAAACAAGTAATTGGAAATTCTTAGTTAATTTTGAATATGGTAAATGGCAATAGACATAGCCCATATAAAAACTCTGCAAAGGTATTTAAGAGTATAAATGTCCCAAGACCAAAAAGTCTGCAACTCCCCCTTGGTTAAGTGAATTTCTGGGTTTGAAGCATTTTTTTGCATTTTGAATCACTGATTCCTGTTGCTACTCTTGACTTTATAATAAGTCCAGGCTATATGGAAAGATAATAATGGTTGATCAGCAGAATTATGCATCTTTGTCTTTCCTAGAGTCATTTATTGTTAAGCTTATACAGTTTGGTTGAGACTTGACTTTTCCCAGATATGCGTATTTATCTGAGTAAAATTCAGGATCTTGTGGGGCCTAGAATAGTGTTACACATATAAAACTGCTTTACTTTCATTTGAATGAAAATTAACCTATTCTAGGAGTTGGATTCATCCTCAAGGGAAAAATAATAGCCCTGGGGTTCTTTCCAGCTCCTCCCCCTACCAAATTTAAGCTGATTACTGGAGATTAAGAAATAAAATGGCTTCACAGCTATCTTTGTAAATGACTTTTGAAACATATTAAGAGCAAACTGCTTTCTAATTAATTTTGTTTTCCTTTGGTAAATGATAATGGTCCTTTTAAATGACTTAGAGGTGGGAGGTGGAGTCTATTACCTGACTCACTGCTTCAAGGGCTGTTTTGTAACCCACGAGGTAGATGTTGTGGGCTTAGAAGTCAGGGCTGACTGATTTTGAAAAGACAGTCTCGATCCCTGAAAAATCTTCGGTACTTGGCTCTACAAAGAAGACATTCATTTTTGATTAAGTTAGGATTCATCTGTAACAATGGGACATCTCACAAATGACAGAATGGAAAGTAAGTGTATTTCTCTGTAATGGAGTCACTCTGGTTTCTTTCGAGGTAGAGGAGTATTTTTTTGTTTTTTTTTTTTTTTTTTTTTGGTACCAGAGATCGAACTCATGACCTCACACTTGCCAGGCAGGCACTTATGCAGCTAAGCTAAATCCCCAGACCCAGAGGAGTATTTTCCTAAGAGAGAATTGAGTTGTCTTTTGTTGAAGGTAACTTAACAATAATGTAGCGTGTGTGTTTGTCTTGCTTTTCGTGTTGTAAATCACAGAATTGTGAATGGTTTAAAAGACAACATCTTTTAACCTTTTTACACTTGCTGTATCTACAAGTAGATCACTTAAAGCTCTTCTGGTATTAGAATTTTAATGGATAGCAAAAAGTGTAATTATGTGGTCCAACAGAGCAGTACAGATCTTGTTCTTCTTGTATAGTCTCTTAATTTACTGTCAAATTACTTTAAAAGTTTTAATTAGCATAATTAAGTAAAGTAAGTGATAAGATATGTTACTTTATGTATTTTATGTGTATTCTCTCCTGAGTCACAGCATTTAACAGGGGCATTTAAACTTAATTACCTCCTCTAATCCAGGCCAGGTGAAGGCACAAATCAGAACACTGTAAATTAGTGTCACCAAGAACTAAAATTGCTTTCCAACTACCTGAATCCTTAGTGTACTTCTTTCCTTTCATTTATCTTGACCTATCGACTGTCAGATACTTTCACTGATACCCACAGAAAATACATTTTCATATCATGATTCAGTATACACATAATTGTCCCCATTAATTTTATCCTAGATAATTCTTGCTTTATTATATGTGGTATACTTTGATTTCAATGCCCTTGTTAGAAAAGTAGTAATTTTGTGACCCTTTGCTACACGCTCATCGAAAAACACTGCCTTGGAAACTTCCATTCACCACAGTGGTCGATGGATATTTTCTTTACTTTCACTGAGCTCCATACCTGCTGTCTGGGCTCCCTCATGACAGTCTGTTGCACAGTGGCTACAAAAAGCAGCCTCCTGGTGATGCACACAACTGGCTGCCTGAGTGGGTTCCCCCAGGGACCTTGGGGACAGCTGTTTCTGTTGGACTTCAGTAATCCCGGTCTTAGGCTGTTCCCAGTATGGGCTCAAGATACTTGCAGCACAAGGAGTGTGTGAAGAGGCCCTTTGCAGGGCCAAATTCAGGTTTATTGGTTGCTAGAAGATCCACATTTCAAAGAAGTGGGGCTGTAGCAGCTTTAACCCAGATGAATTTGAGGACATGTTGGCTCAGAAGCATTTTATCCTGAACATCTGTAGGAACAAATACATTCCCAGGTGTCATTCCTTGTACAACTGGTGAGCCCTACTCTGATGAGGGCTTCCGCTGTGCTTTCCCTCCTTAATTGTTCCACTTCCTGTCCAGAGTACACCAAAATGAAACTGCCTCCAAAAAAGCAACCACCACAACAAAAACTTAATGTCTGACCAATGTCAGCAGAGGCTCTGGCTTCTGCTCTGTGGGGAGTGGAGAGAGCTAGTATGATGCTACTGGTACCATTCATGCACCTGCCTCCACCCCCACCAAGTCTGAAGTTTCCTGTCTTCAAGTGCACACTAGGGGAGGGCGCTTTCTACTCCTCCAGGACTGTGTCTCATTGGTTATTCCTTCCCTCTCCCTGTCTCCAGGCCTGCCCTTTTTAGGGACTCCTTCCCAACAACCTTTAAATATATTTAAAACTCACACCTGGGCCTGTAGCTACTACTTTTCCATCTTCTCCAAAGTTGTCTGTGCCTCCTGTCAGAATCTTCATGCTGCTGCCTTACCTCTCAGCCCACTTCTGTCTCCTAGCATGAAGACGCTGTCTTCCTAAATTCGCTTCTTACTCACTGTCTCACTTGTACACTCCACTTCAGGTCAGAGTCCTTTGAATGACGGTTCCTCTCTCTTGACCTCCATCACCTGAGGTCTTTTGCTCTCTTAATCTTTTCTTTTGTCTCCCCTTCTCTTTTGTCTCTCCTCTTCGTTGGAATCCCTGAGGTTCTAGCTTTGGTGTTTTTTTGTTTGTTGGCTCACGACCTTGCCTTTGCCAAGCAGGCACTTATGCTGCTGAGTCCCTGCCCTGAGGTTCTAGCTTTGAATTCATGTTCCCATCTCTGTTTACTCTGGAGATTTGCCCACTCTCAGTTACAGCTTCTAGGCCGATGCCCAAAGCTGTTAGCAGCCTAAACTCTGGTTCCATGCAGCTTACTTAGGATGACTGGAGGTGATACTGTAAGCTTGTGACCTTAAGTTTCCAATTGTTTAGCCCCATAAATCTGTAGCTGCTTATATATTTCTACACTGCAAACTTCCACTAATCTCCACTCATGAGACAGACTGGAAAAGGCAAAATGAGGCAAGTTTGTGACAACTACTTGGCACAACCAGATGCAGGAAGAGGGTTAATGGAGCATGATAAATAATTGACAGCCACGTAGACCTTCTGCTAGGTTGCCTGCTCTTACTACAATCTGAAGTAGTTAGTCACCTTAGAGAACTCAAGGAAGTGTGATCCAGGATGGGTTGGTGCCTTTCACGTATGAAGTCTTGGCTTTTGTGAATGAATCCCTGGCTGCAATAGGCATAGCCCTTGCTGGTAGGTTATTTTCTTATTCTTGTATATCCACAACATCTGACACAGTATCTGACATGATAGGTACTCATTTAATGCTGTTAAATGAATGAAATGTTTGGTGCTGTGGTGAGGACAGGTTTGAAGTCAGTAAGGGTGGTGGTGGTGGCTCCCCGGCATCCTTTGTAGACGCTGGGGAGAAGCAGGAACGCTGTACTGAGGAAAACAGCTAAGTAACATGCTGGCTTCTTTTTAACTAGAGCCTTCCATTTGGATTCAATTTGTTTGGGGGTGTGGTGAATTCCCAAAACAACAGGCACACCCAACCTAAAATATAAATTGATTTAAGGCAAATATTATTTTGACTCATTCGTGGCATTGTTCAGTGAACAATTCACAGTTTAGTGGTAGACTCAGTGTTGATATGCCTGACTCAGGCCAAAATCATGCTTTTGAATTTTAAAGTTTTGCTAGGTTTTAAAATTTTACTAGATTGACGTAAATTATTCCCTTTGCTATGCTTGTGTAACATTGCCCCACACCCTGGAAGCATGTTATGTTGTAAAGTCTACCAGTACTTTAATGGGGTCCAGGAGGGCAGATGTGGTGTCTCGTTAGTCCCATTCAGTGTCACAGTGAGGCTTTGATTGGGACATGGCGTTTAAATGAACAAACTCTGGAGGTCCTACACCCTATCACAGTCCTTTGAGACTGAAGTGAAAATCCTTACTGGGTTATTGTTCTCTGGAGCAGGAATCAAACTCAAACTGAGCTTCACTGAAAATGAGAAGTGATCTCTTCTCACAGTTAGGAATGTTTTCCCCCAGCAGCAGCAACACTTGGCCAGCTGCTCTCTTACTGCTAGTGGCTTAGTTTGTGATCTCAAAAAAATCCATCCAGGGCTGCAGAAGGAATTCATGAAAATCATTTTGGAACTTCCACATTCCGGTCCCAGCTTTCTTAGTATGTAGCTTTTATCATTGTCATGAAATGGCGGAAGAAAAAAAAAAACAGGTAAGAAAAACCACAAAGCTTTTTTCTTCACAAGACTTGGCCCATTTGTTCGTAAAAGAAGCCTCCCCAAAGGACCTCAGAGCATATGTTTAGTTCTGAAATCAAGCTGCAAAGGAGGCTGGCAAAACAAGGTTAGCTCTGCTTCGTTTTGTTTTAAGGTATATCATAGGGGCAGGTAAGGGAAAAAGGTTGGAAAGGAAGATTACTCAGCCATCAAATGTTGTAAAATCCATGGAGATGGTCTGCTTTGGATCTTGGTTGGGTTTGGAGCCTTTTACAAAGTGATATCAGAACATGAATGGACCATAAATATGAAATTCTGGGTTACTAAACATGGGCCACTTGAAGAAAGATATTCCAGGCCTCTGTGTCTAATACTCTCTATGTTGATCAGTTGCTTAGGATCATGGCAAACTTGCATTTGCTTCATGTATGAACACTGTTACTCAGCCTTGTAATTTCTGGCCTTTCTAATGGACAGGTTTTTTTTTTTTTTTTTTTTTTTTTTTTTGGATGGGAGAAATACTTGTCTTTTTGTCAGCCCTATAAATGATTCTGTGAATTACACAACTTTTTTGAATGCTATATTATGACTGCTTTCAGGACCTGCTGTGCAGCTGTCATCTGCAAATTTTTTTCCCTTTTATTCTTGGCATAATTCTACTTTTTCTTGGATTTTATGTTTTCCTTTTCCTTAGACTTATTTCTGATTTTGCTGGAATATATTTTGAAGTAAGTTTTCGGAAAGAGGGCATGACAAGTACACTTTGGGCTTGTGCTTATTTTCCCTCACACTTAATTGGTGACTTGGCTGCGTATGAAATTTTGAGTTCACCATCATTTGCATAGACAGTTGAAAGAACTCTTATTGCAGGTATTACTGCTGAGTTTTGAGCCTTTGTATGGATCTTTCTTTGGAAATGCAGAACGTTTTCTCCTGAATATTGTGATCTTTCATGAGAATCACTTTTTTTTCCCAATTATTATGGTCAGTAGCTGTAGGCTTTTCCAGTGTAAAGACATGTTCTTTTGCTCTTAGAAATTCTCTTTTTCTTTTTGCTATCTTCTTGTCCCTCATTTTTCTTTTCTTTTTTTAAAAATTCAGTGAGTTGATGTTAGGCCTCTGTACTGAAACTGTCTTATCGAACTGTTTTTCTTTTCTCTTTTCTAGCAATTTCAGGACCTCTTTTTTTCTCCTGTCTTTTTTATTGACTTTCAGAGTCCAAAACCCCAAATTTTAATTGTAATGTCTTTTCCTTTTCATGACAGTATATTTATTTCATGTGTGTATCACAGGTTTTCTAATATCTTTGACTACATTTTTTTTCCCTCCCGCTGCAGTTCTCTGGCATCAACTTCATCCACCTCCTTTCTTTGTTTATCTTCTGGCTCTGCTTTTCCTTTCCAGGAGGAGGAAGTGCTGAAAAGGAGTGTGTTAAACAGGTATTCTGTCCATGCAAAGGAAGCAGGATATGTTGAAGCTTCCTCAGTTAGAGAGAAGTCCCCGCTGAGGGTGCCAGACCACCTGGCAGACAGCAGATGTCTGCTGCTGCCTTCCCTCATAAGCTGAGGAAGGAGAGCTGTAGTGCAGCCTCCTTTCAGGTCTAAATTTCTGACCTCAGATCCTGCCAATTTCCAACTTTACTTTTGTCTTCGCGCATGTATCCCCTGCTCTGCTGTGGTTTCTCATGCTTTCAGCTCACTTATAAAAGTAGTTGTAGTGATTTGAAATATGGAAATGTCTTGGTTCTTGATCTGCATATCTGCAGGGGTATTACATTTAATAAAATGTATTTTTTAGAAAGTAATACATGGTTAAAAATATCCAGAAAGTACAGAAGGACATGCAGAAGAAACTAAGCCTTGCTTAAACCTGGTCTCCATGTCTTTGTTTGCCTTCCAGAGGCAGCCACTGTTAGCTGTTTCCTGCTTACTTCCCGAGAGTTCATGCTATGCACGTTTAAAGATAGAGTCATTTGGGCAGCTTGTGCTGTGTGGACAAGGTTTGCAGTGAGTTAGGAGAAGCATCTGCAGTCTGGGCATGCTGTGCTGCAGTGGTGTCCGCAGTACTAGGAACTGCACCATGGGAATGGAGGTCCAGAACACTGGCTTACGATCATCTGAGAAACAGGATGTAGCTACTGATGAGGTGCTAGTGAGCTGTTAAGGCAAAACAGGAGAAGAGGGTTGAGCAGACTTTTCTGCTGACTTGGGGTGGACAGGGTGGAATTTTGCTAACTTTTACCTGCTAATATTACACGGATTCAAAATGCTTTGATTGGCTCTGTGTGGCTGTAGCATTAATAATTTGTCATTTTGTTTTCCTCTTTTGCTCATCCTCTCAGGCTGTCAGATGATTTTTGACCCTGACAATCTGAAGCAGTTTTTACAGCAGCACCGAGTATGCATGATCTCTACTCCTGTAAAGGAAAGGGGAAACACTGCAAACCCATTGAGCACAGCAAGCT